AGCCTCAGGCTTGCCGTTGGTCTTGTTCTTTTCAGAATGTTCACATTCTGTGAAGCAGGCCCTTTCTGTTCTTCTCCATACACTGTTAGTCGTGCTGTCAAAGAGAAAATATAGTGAGCTCCCAATTGCTCCAGAACTAGAAGTTAGTGGATGAGAAAGAAAAGTCCAAAAGTGAAATGATCACAAAACTTAGAATTTCCTTTTGAATATTCTGTATGTTTCTTGAAAACTAGGAAAAGGTAAAAATCAAGAAGCTAAGGGAGGTAAGATTGATAACAGAATGAGGAGAAAAATATGCCAACTTAGTAAATAAAACGCTTGAATAATTTTGCAAGACCAGGGCAGATATTTCTATATGTAGATGCTCATTGGTTTTTAGAAAAGGCTAATGAAATTGCCTTGGGAGCAATTGGGAGGTGATGGGAGCAGATGGGAGGTGACGTCAAGTCTTTATGACTGGCAACAATGCTTTCAGCATTATCACAATATCATGTCACTTCACCTAAAAAGTGGAGCATCTATAATAGCTCTGTTTGCTGAAGATCATCTTGAAAATGGGAGGCCAAATCTGAATAGATGTGCCCATCTAATGCACCTCTATAATCCGCAACCAAACCAAACATTCTGACAGAAGAATGTTGTCTTCGAAAAAAATGAGTTTATAAAGAGAGATGGGTCATCAGTTTTCCTTTGTTACAGTGCTGAGAGGAGCAAGAAATTAGAATCGCTTATATGGAAATTTGAGAACTTCCTTTGTATATACAACTTTCCTGTGTGTGTATAAAGTTAACAAAAATGCACTGACATCTAACAAGTTGTTTGGGAATGGCTCCTGCAATTAGAGAGAAAAATGGCTTACCAGAATGTGAACATTCTATTACTGATAGCTTCACACAGATACTTGAGGTTTAAATTAAAACAGGTTTATAGTCTTTTTTTGCCCACCAGCACCATGGCCATGTGTAGCCATTAGACTGAGAAATAGTAAACTATCAAAAGTTGGATGCTGGAGACGCTTGGTACATTATGAGAAGCATTGTTCTATTGCAGATGTAAAGAAATGGCATGTTCTTGATATGATGATAAATTTCATTGCTATGTGGGATAGACACCACAGAAGTAATCCACAATTGCTTCGCCAAAGCTGGTGTTGGAACTACTGATGGCTCAGATGCACAGAGCAAGATACGTGATGACTCTGACTAGAATGAGCCACAAAGAAAAACAAGCTGTGCCATACTCAAACGTCAGTGATTTTGTAGATATTGATAACATGGTAGCTCCCTCTGCTGATTGTGAATTTCAAAGGAGAACAGGTGTTCTTGAGGTAGGTCTGTTTTGAGCATAGAAGAACAGGAAGAAAAGTTGCCCAAGTCCAAATATCCAGGAGAAAAGAAGCATAAACAGCACTGGTGAGCAGTGATAAATTGCAACAATATAAATGATTCTGATGCCAAAGCAACAGTCACTAGATTTGTTTGTGAACCACAAAATAACACATCAGGATTGAATTATGTTATGCAGAATGTAAAACCAGGGTCTCCCAGACATGACTAGAGCTCTGTATCTTATTTGTATATGTATCTGTATATCTTATCTGTATATGTATCTTATTTTAGCCCAATAGACATTTCTGGAGCATCTGGTACATGAGAGCTGGTTTGTAATCCAGGCTCCATCTCTTCTTAGCTTTGTAATCTTTGTCAAGACCAGAAGATTTCTCATGTGTACAATTAGGAGACTGGATTAGGTTATCTAAACCATTAGTTCTATAGTTCCAGGCTTGGTAGCTGCAGGAACTGAAATGTAAATTGAAACCTTTACTCTATAAACTCAAACTATCTAAAATCATGGATTATAAAGAAAGAGATTCCATTCTTCAGTAACTTCATATAATGGCAACAGAACTTCTGAATTTGAAAATTATAAAATTATAAAGCCACCTATTTAAATGGTTCTGCATGCACTTTAGTGTACACACCCAGAAGCATTTTTCTTAGAAACTAACCAACATATTTTGAAAACTGTACATATTAATTTACTATCAGGATAGTGTACTGGCATGCTAAATAAAGCCAGGTAATTTTTTAAAAATCCATATATCAGATCACATCACTCCTCTTCTTGAACCTCTCTAATGATGTCCCATTATACTTAAAATAAAATCCAAACTCTTTCTCTTGGCTTACACAGCCTTGCAAGAACCTCTGGCCACAAGAATATAAGAGGGAACAGAACTCCAAGCAGAGAGAGGTGGTGCAAAGATCATAAAGTAGGAAGGAGCTTGGCATATTTGAGGAGTAGAAAGAAGGTTGATGTGATCTCATCTCCTACCACTCTGCCCTCACTTCCACTACATCCAGTCACTCTGGCTTTCTTTCTGTTCTCTTATCTTCTTGTGGCTGCTTCCTTCTTGACATTCTGATTTCAGCTCAAATATTATCTCCTCAGAGAGACCTTCCCTGATTTCCCAATATAAAGGCTTGTGCTGGAGATACAAATTTTGGAGCACAGATGAGATTACTTTAGGAGAGAATATGGAGTGAGAAGAGGAGCTTTGATAGAGCCTTAAAATCTCTAAGTTGAGGCAACATTTAGGGCTCACAGAGCTATTAATTAACTCAAAACTGTCTGGCTCCAAAACTCATTCACTTTGTAAGCTACTATGATCTTTCAAAGAATAGGTTGAATAAAATGAAATTAATATTAATATGAAAAGTAAACCTTTGCAGATGGTGGATAAAGCTGAAAAAAGAAGAATATATGGGGCCGGCCCGGCAGCTCAGTGGTTAAGTGCCCACGTTCCGCTTCTCCGCGGCTCGGGGTTCACCAGTTCGGATCCCGGGGGCAGACATGGCACCGCTTGGCAAAAGCCATGCTGTGGTAGGCGTCCCACGTATAAAGCAGAGGAAGATGGGCACGGCTGTTAGCTCAGGGCCAGTCTTCCTCAGCAAAAGGAGGAGGATTGGCAGTAGTTAGCTCAGGGCTAATCTTCCTCAAAAAAAAAAAAAAAAGCATATACTTTGCCGGAAAATGAAGTGGTGATATTTGAGATTGGTCCTGAAGAATAAACAAGATTTAGACAGGGGGTGCAGCATGTGCAGAGGCACTGAGGCATGAAAGAGCATGGTATTGAAGTGTTAACTCCATATAGGCAAGGCCATTGTCTGTCTTCTTCACTGCTATATCTCCAGCATCCAGAACAGGAATGGCTCATAGTAGACACTTACTACATATTTGTTGAAAGAATGGATGGATGGATAAATGAGTGAATTCCACCGTACAAGAGCAGGCTTGAACATAGGATGTGTTGGTGAGAGAAGCAGAAGAAGTAGGGAGAGGTCAGATCATGGAGGGCCTTGAATTCTCCGTTGAGAATCTTAGGCCTTTATCCTCTATATAATGGGAACCCAATGAGGGTTTTAAGTAGGATTTTGAAGTGATCAGATTTTGTTTTAGATAGAGCAATCTGAAGTGATGAGGAGTGTTGGGGGGGTAGTAAAGAAGATACTATAGGTACAAAGACATTACTTCTGATTTCTAGTGCCCAGATCATTTTAGTCAGGATTCTCTAAATACACTTCAGTTTGCCTATAGCCCACCCAGAACTGCTAACAATAACTAAAGTATGGTATATCCTGCACATATTAGAGTAGAACCATGTGTCTAGTGCCTCATGACCAGTACTGTATTTTTGTAATGCTTGTAAAAATACTGAGGAATGGAATGGGGGTAATGTGCACAAAATATCTCACCATTTCTTATTTTTCCTTGTCTCTTTCCAAATATACACTAAAAAAAGTAAATGCTAGCTATCATTATGTAAGATCTAATGAAGAATAATGACAAACACAATGCTTGTTCAATGAACACTTATTGTCCTTGAATGCTTACTCTCTGCCTGGCACTACTGTTCGTTAATCATTGCAACAACCCTTGAAGATGGGTACTATTATTATCCTCATTTTAAAGATGAGAAAACTGAAGCTTGACAAGTGAGACATTTAAGACATAGAATTAATATGGCTTGCTGATTGTTTGGAAGTGAGTTTTGAGGGAGTGAAAACATTCAAAATGATACCCAGCATTCTGGTGTGGCCAACTGATTGCAAGGTTGTTCCATTCACTGAGATAGGATTAGAAGAGGAGGAGGAGAATGTTATGGGAGAGGGAAGAGTAGAAATGTCTTAAATCAACTGAGGACTACTGTTAAGTTTTAGGTGCCTGAAAGAGATGCCCAGCTGTCATTAGATATTTCAGTCTGGCTTACAGGAGTCTTGTCTGGGTTTACTACATGTGGGAATCATCAGCATACAGATGACAACCAAAGCAATGGGAGGATTTTGGGGGGTGTGAGGTTGATAAAGGTGACTTTGGAATGTTTTAGATGAGAGAAACTTTGACAATCTTTAAATGCTGATAAAGAGCTAGTAAGCAGGGAGCCGTTGACGAGTGAGGAGACAGAAGGGTATACCAGTGGAGCTAGCCTCTGAGTTGGCAAGAAGGAACAGAGAGGTAAAGCGGCCAGGGGAACTTAGATCAAAAGAAAGTAGTTGTTTATTATTATTATTATTGCAAAAGAATGGGAGAAAGGATTGCTGAGGGGTCCAAGGAGGTTAGAAAATTTCGCGGTGAAAGTAGAGGGAGTTCCTGTCAGATGAATTCTATTTTGTCTGTGAAGTAGCAGACGACGTTACCGGCTGAGGCTAAGGGGTGATATGACGAGGCAAGCTCGGCTTTTCATTTATCCCGCTGACTCAGTGCTGGTGGACTCTTTGTGGCTCTGCATCCTCTCGTTTTCCCGGAGGAACAGCGCTTGACTTTGCTTACGACAAAAGTTGTTGACCCAACGTGTGACAGATTCGGCAATACGCCAGTCGGAACTACCACTCCCGGAATGCAGTGCGGCTCCTGGGAAGTGCGGGGGCTGGGAACGCAGCAGTCCCCGCCCCGCCACACGCTCCTATTGGAGGAGCGCTCCCATTCCCAGGAGGCCGCGCGTGGGCGGGGCGCTTTACACGGAAGCCAGCGGCGTCCGGTTCCATCCTCCTCTGGGAGCAGGCAGTAGGCGAACCAGTCTTGACCCGCGCCGCTCCATCCCGAGCCCGCGCACTCTCAGAGGGTATCTAGACAGGTAAATAGAGCGGGGCGAACTTGGCGGAAGGCGGGGAGGCGACGCTGGGGGGAGGGCGGAGGTGTCGACGGGAAGGTGCTGGGGTGGAGCGAGGAGGCAGTACAAGGGTGATTTGGGCTTCTCTGGTGTCGACAGTTGGAATTGTCGGGCAGGTCTAGTTTTGGCGAAGTGCATTTTATGCCCCTGAGAGGGCCTCGAGTTAGAGTGTCAGAATGCGTCACTTAAGTTGTTGCGTGAGGGGAAAAATATTAACTTTCCGTCTGTTCGTATTCTGCAGGACCTTTCTGTAGCATTTGAATCTCTTGAGATTTTCTGAGTCTTCTGAAAACTCCTCCTTATGCCCTGGTTTCGATGACGTCACTTTCTTCTTCACCTCCTACTTTTGAGCTCCTTGGTGGGTTTCTAACCCTCTGTGTGCCCTTCTTCTACCAGCCAGTGTTAACATTCGTCTTCTTCCTCACTTCGGATAGGAGCTCTATATCTCTGCCCAGTCCTATTTCCTCAGCGTCAGACATGTATGTTGTTGTTGTTGTTATTATTAGCCAGTATTTAACAAACTGACTGTGTACTAGACTCTTTGGTAAATACTTTATACCTCCCTCTCTTATAACCCCCACAATCAATCAGTTATCAAGTCCTTTAATTACTGTCTTATTAATTGCTGTCAACTACCTGTACCTCCATTGTCCCACGCTTGATCCCAGAGGATACTGTCATGTTTGGGACATTCTTTCCCTTTGAATAGTTGTGGCTGAAAGCAGACTCACTCATATGTTTAACAGATATTTACTGAACAGTTAGTTTATGCTAGACACTCTTCTAAGTGCAAGGGATATAGCTGGAAACAAGACATAGGAGATCACTACTCTCAGTAGCTTACATGGTTGTATGTGTGTGTGGGCAAACAGGAATAATCAAGATGATAGTGTATCGTGGTGGTGGTTACTGCAAAACAGAACAGGTGATTGACTTGACAGGGTAGGCTCCTATCCTGAGAAAGTCAGAGGGATTGGGTTGGGTCTCAGAGGGTTATATCAACGTTAGTTCTGTCTTCTTCAAGGTTATTACATCAGAATTGGTGAGTTATCAGTCCTTGGCTTATTTCCTCCTAAGACCCAGACAGAAGAGTTGGGGACTGGATTTCTTTCAGCCCAACCGCTTTATCTTACTTAGGGAGATAGTTTGGTAATCAAAATATTCTTCTTACCAGGCCCTACTAAATGTAAAGTTATCTGTCATTTATAGTGTATTTGAAACCAAAACATGCTCAGTGTTCGTTCCTTTATTCAACACATATTTGAGGGACTATTATATGATAGGCACTGTACTGGGCATTGGAAACCTAGTGAGGATAAAATGGACACTTTGACACCTTTTCCAAGGAGAAATAATTGTAACAGCATGCTGAGGAAATTCCTAATACAGAGGCTGACACCTGCATTCTTTTTTCTTCATCCAAAGTGAGATAATCACAAAACTTTAAGAAATCTCCTCAATAATTGTGTACATTCTTAGGTTATTCACTCATTACACTTATTGAATTTATTTGTTTATGTCTGTCCTCCCCATTGTGCTATGGCTCCCTTGAGTATAGAGGTCCTTTCTTAGTGGTCTTTATACCTCCAGTGTCTACTACATTGGCTGCCAATAGTAAACCCTCAGAACATATGTGTTGAACTGAAATAGGAAAACTATTTGATCCAATCCAAATTACTTAATTTATAGAAGGGCTTCTTTATATAAAGCCATTAGACTTATCCCTAAACCTTCTCATTCTCTAAATGTGAATCATTTCATGTCGTCAAGCTAGTTTATTTACCTTCCCTAGCTTGTTCTTACTTCTATGCCGTCTCATATTCTATAGCACCTTCTTAAAATGAATTCTTCTCTCTTTTCTGAGCACCTTCCATGCCACCCCCCCCATTTAATTTAATGGCCCAATTTAATAGTATGCCCCATGATACAAAGGTGGAAAAAGTTTAATTTCCCTTGTGTATTTCCTATTAAACATTCTGCTAATGAACTGTTGCAAGGATTTACATAATACATCCCCTTTCAGTAATATAAATAATGATACAAAATGCTTTCTTTTTAATTTTGCATTGACTATTACTATGTGATATGTGACGAGTTAATTCTTCCACTTCTTTTTTCTATTTGAACAGTTGTACAACCTTTATTCATACAACACATTATGATTTTATTTGGTTTCCACTTGATACAAACACATCTTTGAGTATTATTTTCTCCTTAGCCTGAGATAATTTATGTGTTCGTTATTCTGCCACACTGTCATTTTCAGAATGTCAGATAAAAGTCTCAATTCTTAAAAGTTTTTTTCCGTGTAGATTTCTTTCAATTGTAAATCGTTACTGCAAAGATAAATTTTGTCTTTATAACTGATTTAAAAATCACAATAGGAATACAAGAGTGCTTGAGTCATGATTGTTATTATGATTTTAGGATGTGTCAATCTAAGAGCATCCAGACATGCTTCCAAGACATTAAAAATTAGCACTGTCATTTTAGGGAATTTCTTGGCACCTATGCCTTCATAATGCAAATACAGCACTGAATTGTGTATCATTGCTCATTTATAAGTTATACATGATATTCCAGAATATTCATATACATTTTTTAATGTTATCAAAATTAAAATACAGAATTAAAAATTTCTTAAAACACAGGGGCTTGAGTGTGAGAACACTGACTTGACCATTTTCCCTACTTCATTCCCTGAAACTGTCTTCAACCTCCACTTGATGATGCCTCCACTGAGGAGGAGCGTTTGCATCGTTGCTGTGCTATTTTGTTAGCAGTTTCTTTTAATACAGGGAATCCCTTACTTACAAATGGATATATTCCAAAAGTTCCTTTGTAAGATTATTGTTTGAAACTGGATACATTTTCCTCTATAAATAATGCTATTCATGACATTTTGGTTGTTAGGCCAACCAGTAGCATCTTACTTAACCTTTAATTTAATGGACCTAAAAAGACCTTTACTACAATTTATAATAATTCCTCTATAAAAACTACATCCAGAATTCTCACTTGGATTCCCTCATAGCATATCTTTTTTTTGAATCACAACAACTGGAACAAAAATGTCCTTTCCTTAAAACCTTTCTAGGGAGTAGAAACAGGCCTTTCTAACTCCAAGCTGTTGGAGGTTGCCCTTTTGGCCCATCACTTGAAGGACATGCCTCTAATATGAGTAAGGAAAGAGAAAGGATAGAGGTTTTGGATAGGAGGGGGAGGCAGGTTGGGGTGATGTGAATATGTGGAGAGGGGAGGGTAGGAGTGATTTGGGAGGAACAGTGTTTCTAAGATGAGGGTTTGTTATGTCCTCAAGAAAGATATGTTGAATCCTGACCCCTGGTACCTATAAGTGTGATGCTATTTAGAAATAGGGTCTTTGCAGATGTAATTAAGATGTAAGTTAAAGTGAAGTCATGCTGGAGTAGGTGTCCTTATAAGAAGAGAAGAGACACAGAGAATGCCGAATGAAGATATGGACACAAATGGAGAATACTATGTGACATGGAGTCAGAGATTGAAGTGCTGTAGCTGCAAGCCAAGGAATGCCAAGGGTTGCTAGCAAACCCCCAGAAGTAGGAAGAGACAAGGAAGCATTCTCCCCTGCAGATTTCAGAGGGAGCATGGCTCTGCCAACATCTTGATTTCGGGCTTCTGGCCTCCAGTACTATGAGACAATAAATTTCTGTTGTTTTAAGCCTTGCAGCTTTTGGTACTTTGTCACATAAAACTCATATAGGATTCTTAGCAGGTATGAAGTAGAACTGGGATGTTGGCTCTGGGACCAAGCAAGGAGTGAATAAGAGAACAGGGAGGAGCAGTGTTGAGACAGGGCTTTCCTTTACATCAGTTATCTTTTTTTTTTCTTCTCTTCTCTCTGGCTTATCTTTTCATTCTTTTTCTTCTTGAATATTATATTTATATAGCACTTTATGGTTTATTAGACATTCACATACTGTTAATAATTAGCAGAGTCAGGTTTTCTGACTTCTAATGTAGTGTTCTTTCTGCCACAGTTGTTTTTATTATCCTAATACTCATTAATACATTACAGATTCTATTGCAAGAGAGTTATGGTGGGGGCAGGTGAGACTTGATTATAAGTGGGATTTTTAGCAGTATAGGAGAGAATAAGAAATTCCTGTTAGTGACATCTGAGAGGAATGCAAAGTTTCTGTTGCTATGTACCTGATATTTAACAGTCAGAAATTTTTAAATAGGGGACTGCTTTCATTGAACAAAACCCTGCTTCCCTATAACTTATATCCATTGTTCCTAGTTATATTGCGAATAATGTACTCCCTTTTCCAGGTGACTATACTTTATATAAACTTGAAGACTTCTGTCATGATCCTTCTAAGTCTTCTCTTTTTCATATTAAATATTTCTAATTCCTCTAGCTATTCTTCAAATGATACAATCTCCAGATCTCTACCCATACTATTGCCCTTCTGTCCAGTCTTGAAATACTCTACTGAGAATTGAACTCAGTATTCCACATATGTTCTAATCAGCACAGAGTATAATGGCGATAGTACTTAAAGAGATCAAGGTACCCTGTTTCTTTATGTAATTTAAGATTATGTAAGCATTTTAAGCAATTACTTTATGTCAGTTCATGATGAACTTATGGTCCAATAAGACACTAGATCTTTTCGTATTGTTGCCAAACTCAGTTTTCTTCTTGAAGCTGCTAAGGGACTGAGGCTGCTACTTTTTCATCTCTCTGTCTCAGGGACCATATGATTTCTCTTCTCTGTTTCTTTGTGTTTTTGTTCCACTCTACTGCATGTCTCTTTGACCCTAACAATGACCTACTTCATTATAAAATTTCAGTGACTGTTTTACAGTCTTCATACTATGCATCAGTAAACACAGCTAGGAGCTGACACTTGTTCCTTCTTGAGGCTTTCTTTCCTTTTGGCTTCCAGGCCACCACACTCTTCTGGCTTTCCTCTCACTTTCCTAATTGGTCCTCCTCAGTCTTCTTTGTAGGTCCCTATTCATCTGCCTTTCCTTTGACTGTTTGTTTTGCCTTGAGTTTTGTCTTTGTTTTTCTCTCAACTGTGGTTGTGCCTTTCTTTTTTTTCTGTATGCAGTATGTCTTCAGCAAATAAATCATGTTTAAAATGGCAGGCCTACATGAGCTCATGTAGGGATAAGAGCGCAGAACCAATTTCCATGGAAAGTCAACATTTAGAGGTCAGCTAGAGGAGGACTCCGCAAGAAGACAGAGGAGCCAGACATGTAGGAGTGTTTCAAGAAGGAGGGTTAGTCACCAGTTTTGACTGTTCTTGAGATGTCAAGTAAGGTGAGAATAGAGAAGTGACCACTGAATTTTGCAATAGAGGCTGTTGGTAAGCATGGTTTTGTGGAGTGTTGAGGGCAAAAGCTACATTATAGTAAGTTGAAGAGTTAAAAGGAGGTAGATAAGCAGAGATAGTGTGTAGATGATGATTTTAAGAAATGGAGCAGTACTCAGAGCGTGTTACAGAGTCAGTCAGTCAGTTGAGGCTTTTAGGATCAAGGGATATAATGTATGAGAAAGTGATTTGGAAATTTAACTTGCTAAATGTGTGTAGGGAGAAATCCAGAAAGAAGATGACTGAGGACACAATCTTGGGGAATACCCTCATTTAGAGAATGGAATGAAGAAGAGACCCTGAGAGTTCAGCCTAAGAGACAGATGAGCGCTGCTTCTGCTCTGTGTGCTGTCCTTTAGTGCTGCAATTCCAAGAAGGAATCAGGCAATTCCCTGACCTCAAGCACTTGATAGTCTGTTACTATGTTTCACAAAATATGGTTGCGGTAATCACCTGCATCCAGACAGGCTTGTCTTAAATACATATTCCAGAGCCCCACCTCGGGCCTACTGAATCAGAATTTCAAGGGATGATACCAAAAATTTGAATTTTTAACAAGTGACTCTAACTCTGCCACCTAAGATGACTCATTCACACTGCAGTTTGAGAACCACTGGCCTACTGGATGAAACTGAACATGTTGACAAATAACATTAGGTCGAAGAGTTAGTTGAAGAATAGGAAGGCATTTGTTCATCTCTTTTTATAAGTTTATGACATTAGATAAGAGAAACTGGGCTGTTCTCTGGTAAAAAATAGTGCAAATTCATAAACATGAGAAAAATAATCTTAAAGCCATGCTGTATTGTTGAAATGTTTTGTATGAAGGATCTCACCATAATTTATAGAACCATTCCTCTCTTGTGGAAGGTTTTTGTTATTTTCACTTTGTTTCTATTATGGAGAATACCTTTGTAGTAGAGGTAGTATATAGTATAGGGATAAGATTGTGGGTTCTAGAACCATGCTGCCTGGGTTTAAATCCCAACGCATCACTTACCAGCTCTGTAATTTTGCGCAAATTATTTACGTCATCTATAGTTTCCTCATTTCAATATAAGTGTCATAATAGTGTGTATTTCCATTGATGTAATAAGGATTAAATGAGTTAATAATTGTAAAGTGCTTAAAATGGTTCCTGGCACATAGTGAGCACTTAATAAGTATGGACTGTTGTTATTCTTAATAGGTATCTTTGTGAATCTAGACTCTAACTTCTGTTGAACTATTTCCCTAGGATAAATTTTCAGGGTGGGATTTCTGCTTTAAAGAATGAAGACATTTTTGTGTCCATTTGCATCTATCTAGGGTCATTGCTTTTCAAGGAGTGATATCAGTTTGTGCTGGATAATTTGTAAATGCAACCTATCTATCAATGTAATGTATATCTGTGTGTGTATCACATATACATTACATTGCATATATGTATGCATATCAGTGTTTAGGTTGTAAGCTTGTACAAGACTGTGCCCTTCTTCTTAAATCTGTTATGTTTGTTATAGCACCTTGGTTAATAATGTCTCCACATAGATGTTGATAAGTGATAGTAAGTTACTTTTGAAGGATCATGTCAAAGAAACATTCTAAGTCTTGTATGTCTTTTTTCCTTTTGATAGATTGAAGCCATGGCCATTCTTTTTGCTGTTGTTGCCAGGGGAACCACTATCCTTGCCAAACATGCTTGGTGTGGAGGAAACTTCCTGGAGGTGACAGAGCAGATTCTGGCTAAGATACCTTCTGAAAATAACAAACTAACGTACTCACACGGCAAGTGAGTTCTGCTCTGCATGGGTAGAGGGGGAAAAAGTTAATTGTTATTATAGTGAGAATAGTAGAAAACTAGCTTCTTGGTAGATAATTTGAATAAGCTGACAGAACAGTAACCTTTACTAGCTTAGAGATGTCTGGTTCTATTCATTACAAATTTAACTTGAAATTAGTTTATTCTGTCATTAAAGTGATAATAATATTTTAAAGAAAGATATGGAAGTGTTAGATGTAAAAATGACTGCTATAGAGCTCCAGGATATGTGAAATGATACAAATATGATAAATGATATTACTTTGTTCATTCTTTCAGTAAATATTTACTGAGCACTTGGACTATTGCTTGGTGCTGGAGATAGAACAAGAAATTATACAGTGTTTGCCCTCATAGAGGTGGTAGTTTAATGAAGGAGACGGTCAAATCCATAGATAATTATGGTAGAGGGTGGGAGGTGGTGGATAAGGGGATGGCATTCCAGGTAGAAGGAACAGCTGGAAGATAAGTATGAAGGCATGGAATCATAGGACATGTTTAGGGAACTGCAGATGGTTCTCTGACTGGTGCCCAGCATGGTGAAAATAAAGCTAAAGAGATGGGTAGAAGAGAAGTCATGGAGAGCCTCATAGGCCGTGTTAAGAGATTGGACTTTACCCTGTGGGCACTGGGAAAGCATTGAAGGTTTTCAGCCGGGATGTGACATGATCAGGTTTTGCTTTAGAAAGATCACTCTGGTGGCTGGTTGGAGAATGGATTGGAGAGGGCATAGATGGGAAATCTTAGTAATCAGATAAAAAGTGCGTCAACCTTTCTCATCAATACTTAGAAAAACTTTTGTTGCTTAGCCCATCCTAATTTCCTTAGTTCTTAGCTCAGAAGGAGGTCCTTATTGCCTTCCAGGGCTAACTCCTTGTATAATTTAGGATCTAGTCGTAGCTACTCTAAGAGAGACCCCAAAACACAGTGTTAAACTTAAATGAGCCAGCCTAGAGATGAGTACTTCCGAACTGGTGGGATGGCTCTGCCATTTTCAGGTAGTGCCTTCCAACTCTGGCCAAGTCAGCTCCTTCAGTTCTTGTTATCTCCCTGTGCTTGCCCAGTATTTTTAAAGGCAAAGCCCAGATGTGGCCAGGCATTTATTGTTCAGAGGCTTCTGCTTGCATTTTACTGTTCACTGTGTAGTTATGTAGGTAACCTAGCTGGAAGGGAGGCCAGGATTTGTCATTTCTAGCTGTGCAGCCCTGTGCTGATGTAAAACTCTGTTACTCTGGAAGAAGTTACAGGATATCAGGAGACAACTTTCAATCTTCAATCTACTCTTCTGGGTCACCCAAATATCTGGGTGTACTCTTCTTCCCATAGAACATGCCTCCTGTCTGCAGGAGGTGGCCCCAAAGACTTATCTGGTCACTGTTTCCAGCTCCAAATCTGGAGAATCTGGTTGATATACTGTCCTCTCCATCAGGCCCAGTGGTGGCTCCTGTGGCCCATTGACTGTAAACTAAAAGAAAGTCGTATGTTCCTCCTGATCCCCCAGCCCAGCCCAATAGACAATGGTGGAATAAGAACAACATCACCACAGTGGAAGTTACAAACTCCCATTTAGAAAAGGGAAGCACGAGAAACACATAGAAGTCACTGCTTCCTAGCAATGCTCAAATAACTACTTCACAGCACTTTCAAAGACTCCCTGTTCTGAGCTGGGAGTGGTTAGTGGTTCTGCTTTATTAGAGGAACTCCCTTATCTTTTCTCTCTGACTCCTGGCTTTGTTCTCTGGGAGTCTTTTTCTGGTGGATTATCCTCTCTGGCCACATCCAAAATGGGTGTTAGAGAGTGTGTGTCATCTTAGGGAACTGTACAGTTGTTGTTCTGCTGCTTACCAGTGTAGTTTAGGGGCCTAGAAGTTGACTTAGGGGTTAAATAATCCCAGCTTCTTGTGAGTATGGCTTTATAGTTTCTTCAAAAGTTTATTAGGCTTACAATCTGTGTGTTTCTAGTCAGTTCCCAGGAAAATGCCCGGAGAAAGCACCCGCAGTCCTTTTAGAGGCAAGACCAGGAAGTAGGATATATACCTTCCACTCCCATTTTATCAGCCAGAACTAAGTCACATAGCCATATCTAACTACAAGGGAAGCTAGACTATGGAATCCAATAAAAATGTTGTTACAGTACAACAAGGCGATATTATCCATCTGCTGTTCCTCCACCTGCATCCTGATCCAGTCCTGCCCTGTATCCTCTGGAGTGAGGCTCCATCACTGAGTTGTTTTGTTCTTTTAACTTGCTGCCTTGGTTACTTTCCTATAATCATGTTCCATCATCCCAGTCAAAAATATCTTTCACTACTGTATACCAAAAGAAAAAAGTCCGTTTTACTGTATCACAGTTATTTCCCCCCTAAAATCTGATCTTCCTCTTGCTGTTCCTTTCCTCTTTAACAATATCACCAACCATCTGGTTGGCTAAAACTAAAACTTCAGAATCATATTTGACTTCTTCAACAAATCCTTGCCACTCTCCTACAAGAGGTTTTTCAATCCAGTCCTTCTCCTCTATTGCCACTTGTCATAGTGTTAGTTCAGCCCTTAATTATTTCTCATTTCTAATAGCCTCCTTTTAACTGGTTATTCTCTTTCTAGTTACTCCCTCCTTAAATCTGCATTTCACATTCCTGTGCTTGTACTTTCTTTCTTAAAACCCATTGCTTTTAGAATAAAGCCCAAACTCTGCCTTCACAATTTTGTTCTTTTCTGACCTTTCTATCCTTATCTCTGTAGGACTCCTTGCCATTTCCTGACTTAGCTGTGTTATTTCAAGCTTTGGCATATTTTTTTCATGCTTTTGCTTGCATCTTGTAATGTCCTTCCCCTCGTAGGCCCCCTGGTAAACTTTTGCTCTTTTTACAGGTCCCAAATGAAATACTTTCTTAATCACTACTTCAGTCCTTCTAAAAGGGCAATTCTGATCATGTCCCTTCCTTAGGAAGGTACTCCTTGCCCTCGGGGTAAATTTCCTTAACATGACTTGGAAGATTCTTCAAGATCTGCCCCTGCTCCTTTCTCTGGCCTCATCTCACTACTTTAGCCCTCAGTTTTGTTCTCCAGCCATACTTAGCTATTTGCATTTCAATGCTGGGTTCTTTCTCTCTTCCTAACATTTGCAATAGCTATTACCTTTTACTGGAATATGTTTATCTTACTTACTTTTTAAAAATCTGACTTTGTCTCCCTGAGCTTAGATGTGTCCTCTTTAGAAACCCCTGAGCTCCAAGACTGGGCCAGGTGCCCCCCTTTTTGTGTGTCGCCATAGCATCCTGTGTTTATTCATATTGTAGCACTTATCACACTGTATTATAATTGCAATCTTTAGTTTTTGTCTCTGTTCGCTGACTTTAGGCTCCCTGATGACAAGGACCCTACCTTGTTACATTTTGTGGTCTTTGCACCAAGTTACTTCCAAGTGTGGTTTAGGAGAAACAGATTTTCTGGGAAAAATGATGACTTCCATTTTGGACATGTTTTGTTTAAGTTGCTATGGTACGTCCAGTTGGATATGTCTAGTAGTCAGTAGTGTATGCATCCCTGGAGCTCAGGAGATAGGTCAGATCTAGATTTGGAAATCATTATTGTAATTGCAGTAGCTGAAAACAAACATCAACAACAAAACATGAGAGTGGATGCCGCCCTCCAAGGAGTGTGTGTGAGAAAAGCAGGGGGTTGCAGATGCTGCAAAACATCAAGAGAGAGAGAAAGAGACTACTACACAAACCTGGCAAGCCTGGTGTCAAGAAATCTAGTGGAGAGAAAACACTTTCCAGAAGAAGAAAGTGGTTAACACTGTCAAATGCCTCAGAGAGAGCCACTGGATATGGCAGTGTGGAAGTCATTGGTACAATTGATGTGAACAGTTTGAGAGAAGTGGAGAAAGATATTTTGCCTGAGTTCCCTTACCTCCTTGTAATTCATATTAACCCTCTATGTAAACATTAATAATATAATTCAACAGATACTCCTGTCTGTCCACCTGCCCAAGGTAGAAATCTGGGAGACAAAATTAAGTTATCCCTCTGCCTCACTCCAATAGCCAGTAATCAAGTTCTGTTCTCCCATTTCTTGTCTTTTCCTTCTTCTTCATTGCCCGTAGTATTTTAGTTTATTTCCCTCATCATTTCTTACCTGCGGTACTGCTCCTTTCAGTCATTTCTCCACACTCTAGCCAAAGCATTTTTTAATATGGCAAATCTGGTCACACTCTCCCCCGGCTAAAACCCTTTGATGCTTGTTCATTGTTCTTAGGATAATACATAGTGAGGGTTTAAAGTCTTGTATAACCTAGCATTTGCTTGCTTCTCTAGCCTCATCTGTACAGGCAATTTATTTTTTTCCTTACATTCTATACTCTAGTCATGTGAACTAATTTTACTTTCCTAAACCCATTACATGCTTTTTTATCTCCAGGCCCTTATGCTTGTTGGTATCTCACTCTGGAACACTCTTCACTCGCTCTTTGTCTTGCCATCTCTTATTCATTCTTCAGGTCTAAGCTCAGATATCACTTGCTCCAGGATGTCTTTCCTGTTAGCCTTCACCAAACTCTTAGGTGCCTCGTCTGTCTCCAGAACACCATTTACTACTTTTAACTCCTCACCATCTTACTTACCATGCTCCTCTGTAATTCCCGGTACTGTGATCTCTGTGAAGGCAACGATTGATGGTTTTGCTTATTTGTATCCTCAGCACTCAACCCAGTAACTGGCTCAAAGTAGATACTAAACAGATGTTATTTTTGAGTATTTGGTAGAAAAATTGCTTTGAGATCTTAAGAGAAGGTAAGGAACACCATATGGCCTGTTGGAGGTTAATCTTAATTCCATGTCCCTCCTAAGATGTCATCTCTTGTTCAGGCCTTAAGAGTCCAATTGTGCTTCTGCAGTTATCATTTTAATGAGTAATGTTCATACCATTGCACTATGTATCTGGGGTAGAGACTTTCTTTTAATTTCTTAGTTGTTGTTATCAGTTTGACTTGAGAGAAACAGGTATATATGGGAGGGGGAGAGGGAGAATAGACAGTACCTGCAAATAATATAGTCACATTGGTAGCACTAAATTTGCTTATACAAAGATAGATGTGAAAAAGATATTGCTCATAACCACAGTAAGTTTTATATCTTTTATTCTACAGTTATTTGTTTCATTACATCTGCCAAGACAGGATTGTGTATCTTTGTATCACTGATGATGTAAGTAACTTGAAGATGTGTTGCTATTTAACTATGTGTACTATTAATAGAGTCAGTTCTTTATTATCTATATCTATGGTGGGTAAAGGTAATGCAAATATAACTGTCGATAGCTGGAAATTTTTTGTGTGCTTTTCATTTATCATATAGAGCAGCAAATGCCAAGAAAAGTTGATATCTGGATATATGCAAATCAGCTTGGTTTTGATAGAGTTTTAGTGTAACCTCTCACAACTTCTGCATTTATCCTATTGTTTAGTGAGAATTGGTGTTTATAATTATGACCTGTTGGTATCAGATCCTATCAAAATTTATTTATCTGAACTATTGAATAGATTATTTTATCCCTCTAATTAATAGTGAATTTTTTAATGTATGTGGGCTTTGGGACAACAAAATCACAATACATTATGATCGTATTTGTAAACCTGAATTCACATTGGCAGGTTGTTTTTCAAGTATTTGTAGGTTCTAGACCCAAAATACTCAATAACTTAGCCATGTCATCACGGTCCTTTCTCTCCTCTGCTATCCTTAGTGTCAGCTTCTTCCTAGACACATTCCCCGTATGGTTGCGTGGAGCCATGTGCTTATTTATTCATGTCCAGAGAAGAGGGTCTATGTCTTCTTGAGTTTCTTCTTGTAGGAATAAGGAAACTTTTCCCAGAAGCACACCTTCCCCTCCCCCTCCATTCAAAGTGGATTTCCTGTCATGTCTTATTGGCTAGCACTAGAGTTACATATTTATTTCTAAATCACTCACTGATAAGAGGCATGGAATTGACATGATTGCCATAGGTCAGGGTTGTTAACCTTTACTGTGTTACAGACCCCTTTAACACTCATGGATCCCTCCTGGAATGTTTTTAAATGTATGAAGTAAAACACATGATTATAAATGAAACCAATTATATTAAAATACAGTATTCAAAGTATTTTAAAAGTTGATACAGTAATGTATATGCTTCTTTATGAATTCATTGAATAACAAGATCTAGTAATAGGTCTAATAACTAATAATAATAATTTTGAAGTGGTGATGTGTATAAATGATATTTTGAGATGTCTGTAACTGATGGTAGATGAAAGGAAGATTTCTGTTGGTGGCAAAGTCACAGGTACTGTTTAATACTACTCTGGTTTGTTACCTACATTCACAGTTGAAATTTAGGTTGAAGATTAGTGAAAATAACGGTGCAATGTTTTTTCTTTCCAAGTACATTGGCTCCTTGAATTTGGACCATTGACTGCAGTTTGAGAACCCTTGGCTTAGACTAATCATCTTGGGTGAAATGGAGATGAGTGCCAATGACAATGATCATCACAATGACTTTTATCTCTGTTTTCACAGTATTTTCTAAAATTATTTTAAAAATCCAGCTATATCTTAAATGACTGATGTGAAAGAGCTTGGAGTAGATGAGAAATATCACTAGATTTGGGATGATCAGAGTTGAATCTTATATTGCTTGACTTATAATATGACACACACACACTTTTTGACTGGCTGAGTCTAGAGAAGAGTTTATCGCTTGATCTTTTCAGCTGTACAACCAGTATTGAAAATCAATTAAAAGTTTATGTCACTAGTGTTATCTTTACATATGAAAGGCTGTGCTATTATGGATTTATTTATTAAGCGTCTTCTTGTTCTGGGCCTTGTAATAGACCCTGTGAATGATATGGAGGAAGTAAAACCTGATTCTTCCTCTCAAGAAGCTAACCTAGGTATTGTTATATTCACTTGGCAGTAATCAAACATATTTGGATTGGACTCTCAGCTCTTTCATTTACTAGTTGTTTGACCTTTGGCAAGTTAATTACCTTTTTGGAGCCTTTGTTCCCTTATCTGTAAAGTGAGGTCAGTGCTAGTTCCTCCTCACAGAATCATTGCTCAGTAAATTTTAGCTGTTCTTATGGTTGTTCTTAATCATCCATATCATCTTTGTTTATTTCCTAAAGTGGACTCTGTGTTGGTCTCTTTTCAGGACTTTGAACGTTCCCGAGCCTTTAATTTTCTGAATGAGATAAAGAAGAGGTTCCAGACTACCTATGGTTCAAGAGCACAGACAGCACTCCCCTACGCCATGAATAGTGAGTTCTCAAGTGTCTTGGCTGCACAGCTGGTAAGATCTTTCACAGGATATATAGTATTTTGATTCTTCTTTATTACCTTAAAGCACCATGAATATAGGGAAACCTGACCTGCAATCTGTTTTTCTGGTTGTTATTAGTTGCCAACATAATAAAACTTCCTGATAAAGAAAATTTAAAGGGGCCATATTAGGATGGAAAGCCAATAATCAGTAATATTCTCTATTAGTAGTGGTCGGAATATCTCAGGGTTGGGGAAGGACATTAAAGATCGTTTACTTCAACTGCCCGTCTAACGCATAAATCCACTCAGTATGCCAAATGGCCTCTTAACCTTTACATTAGCCTTCTACCCTCCCATGAGGTGAATTTAACTTTTGAACAGCTTAAATTAGTCATATGAAAGTCTGTTCATCTGTATGAATACCTAATTGTCAGCTCAGTGAAGTTATACATATGTGTATGCTTGTGAAATACCACCCTTTTCAAGATAGAAAACATTTTCATGACCCTGAAAGTTCCCTCATGTCCTTTGCTGTCAGTCCCCTGCCCCGCTCTCTGCCCCAGGCAACCAGTGCTGTATTTTCTGTTACTATAAATTAGTTTTTTGTCTTGTCTAGAATTTCCTATAAATGGAACCATACATTATGTACTCTTTTGTGTCTTGCTTGTTTTTCTCAGTGTAAGGCTTTTGCTGTTCATCCATGCTGGGTAAATTAGTCGCTTCCTTTTTTTGCCAAGTAGTATTGTATGTATGTACCACAACTTGTTTATCCATTCACCTGTTGTGGGATATTTGACTTGCTTCTAGTTTTCAGTTATCATGAATAAAGCTGTTATGAACATCCATGTACGAGTCTTTGTGCGGACATATGTTTTTATTTCTTTTTGGTAAATACCTAGGAATGGAATTGCTGAATCATAGGGCAAGTGTTGTTTAATTTTATAAGAAATTATCAAACTTTTTTCCAAAGTTGTTGTACCATTTACATGCCTACCAGCAGTTCCAGTGTTTCTGCATCCTTGTCAACACTTGTTCTGGTCTATCTTTTTAATTTTAGTCATCCTAGTGGGGTGTAGTGATATCTCATTGTGGTTTTAATTTGAATTTCCCTGATGACTAATGTGTTGAGAACTTTAAAAATGCTTACCTTTTGGGGCTGGCCTGGTGGCGCAGCGGTTAAGTGCACACGTTCTGCTTCTCGGTGGCCTGGGGTTCGCCTGTTCGGATCCCAGGTGTGGACATGGCACCACTTGGTGAAAGCCATGCTGTGGTAGGTGTCCCACGTATAAAACAGAGGAAGATGGGCATGGATGTTAGCTCAGGGCCACTCTTCCTCAGCAAAAAGAGGAGGATTGGCAGTAGTTAGCTCAGGGCTAATCTTCCTCAAAAAAAAAAAAAAATAAAGATGCTTACCTTTTATCCAAGGAACTATTTGACTGCAAAGATGTAAGTTCTATCTATGATAGTGTTGTGAATGAGGAAAAAAAGACTTATTGTAATTGAATACTTTTCACTTCTCCTATAAGTGTTCTTTTTAATATTCTTTTTGAATATTACACTTATAAATATGCATTCCTCGGGGAATGAAGTTTTTGTAAATAGCTATAAATCTTTATTATTCAGTCAGTTGGTCTGTTTTATACTTTCCACTAGGAAACATTCATATATGTGCAACTGTGTAAAACATCACCAACAAACAATATACCAATGCACACAGTCAAAAGTAAATAGGGTCAACTGGCAGCAGAACTTTCAACGTAGCTAGTTTGTCATTAGCTCCAGATCTATGTGTGACCCTCTGAATCTGTGCTGGGATCCTTGTCTATAAATGGAGATAATATTGATAATAGCATCTTCATTATAGAATTTTGGGGTGGATTAAATAACATCCCTTATTTGAAGTATTTAGCACAGTGAAGTGACTGGAATATTGTTTATTAAGGACTCCATAATTGTTAACTTTGGTCAATAATTTCAAAATATATACTGTCATCAGTGTCTTAGATTTCTATCCTATAAGAAGCCAATGAAAATAGAACACATACTCTGATCCCAACAGATACAAGAACTGATGATCAGAAGCCTGGCCAGCCTCTACCTCATCATGCCCAAGAAGTGGGGAACAGTTTAGGGTGCCCTTTCCCTCTCCTGTTCCCCCTGCCCCAACTGCAGTCTTCTTTTCTCCTTTCTTCCTTGTCTGAGCACAGATTATATAACCCCCTACTTCTGCCCTAAGAGTCTCAGATGTATATTTGCTATGTTATAATGCATTTAGCTTTATTTTATTTAAAATAAGGTGATATTTTTATACTATAATACTTATATTTCATATGGTAGCATTTTTTATGCTGCCTATATTTTTTCCTAGGTCTGGTAACAATTTTTGAATGAAGTGACATGACATGTATCTTTTGTATCGAGACATAATTTTATAGCATTCCTTAATGTCATTCTTCTTCTTTTTGTTTTCCTATTGTAAATAATGTCTGGGTACAATAAGTTAAATCTTATTTTCTTATAGAAGCATCATTCCGAGAATAAGGGCCTAGACAAAGTGATGGAGACTCAAGCCCAAGTGGATGAACTGAAAGGAATCATGGTCAGAAACATAGGTATGTTTTATGGCATAGTCCTCATGTATGCAGGCAATGATAGTAGATTACTTGATTGGGGTCAAATTATTCTAGAGAGGCTGAAACAGCACTTCCTTATTGTTACTATTGCAAGCTAATTGTCAGCTGAGATGGAGATTACTTATGATACTGTCTACTGTGTTAATGGTTTCTTCTTAGTACTTATGACTGTTGTTCATTCTGAATTTGTTAGTTTGCTTAGCAAGACTAATTTCTGAGACCCTTACAACAGTTCAGCAATTTAAAATAACGTAATCAGTTTTGGCTGAAGATACCCAGATGGCTGATATTATCGGTAGATACTTAAAGTATAACTATTTGACCTCCTTAGAAAGTTTGTAGCTCTTGATTGAGAGAAAGAAAGAATTGGACCAAAAAACTGACTGTTGTATTCTTCAAAAGAAAACTAGGATGTAAATTCCATCGGTCTATGTTTTGCCAGGAACCTATTTAGCACATCAAAATAACCCAGAGAAATGCATCAGGTTTATTTGTTAATTGATTATGCAATGATATTTAGATTTAGGATGGTGCTGGTTTTTTAGAAGCACTAGTTCTCACAATGTAGTCCCTGGGCCAACGGCATCCGCATTCCCTGGGAATCTGTTAGAAATGCACACTTTTGGGCCCCACCCCAGACTTAGTGAATCAGAAAATCAGGGTGTGCGGCCCAGTAGTCTGTTTTTGCAGGCCCTCCAGGTGATTCCAATGCATACTCAAGTTTGAAAACCACTCTTAAATATATCTTCTAAGGGGAATACCTCACAGACACTATCTGTGTATAGTGAACATCCACTATCTGTGTATACATAGTTATAGTTTATATTCAGTTTTGTGGAGACAGTATGATATAGTGATCAAGATTTGGAGTCATATATGCCTGAGTTTGAGTGCTGATTTCACTTCCTACCTGCTTTTAGCCCTCAATCAATCCTCTAACGTCTCTGAGCTTTATTTCCTAATCTGCAAAAAGGAGCTAATAGAACCTAAGGTGACCAGGATGAAAGAGGTAATGTATGTAAAGCACTTTATACAGTGCCTGGCACTTGGTAAGAGCTGAGTGATTGTTAACTATTGTTAATCTACTTTCTGCTCATACAGTGTTTCATTGAGTTGTATCATAGGTTACCAATCGTGTCCTTATTTTGGACACTGGTTCTTTAGAGCACTGTTACTCAGAGTGCTGCTTTACAAACAGATAAGGAGCTTGCTCCAGAATGTAAGTCAATGCTGTGTTTCCTTCACTGAAAATGTCTTGCTACGAAAAGGTCAATCGAACTGAACAATGTGCTTAGAGACTTAGGTGAAGCAGTAGCAAACACTCAGGTGGCACTGATTTAGAGATTTGTGTTAGAATAACAGTACTGTTATAAATGTTTTTATGCCTATTATATTTTGCGTATTTTCTTGAGATTAATTCCCAGGAATGGGATTAATAATCAAAAGGCAGAAACATTTTTGCAGTTCTTTATATGTATATCTGTTGTCTATTTGAAGTGATTTCCTTTCATTGATTTTAGTTTTAATTATATGTCTTAGATATATGTATTTATTTTGCCTGAAAGTAGAAGCATCCAACTGCTACAGTATTATTTACTACAGATGCATAGAGTTCCCAGAAAATGAACTGTTTTAGTCAACTCCTTTTAAATGACTTACTTATCTTTCGAATTACAGAAACAGCAAATTAAAAATGTAGCAAAAACATTTCTGAGCATCTCCCTTTGATTTTTTTAACAGCTTTATTGAGATATAATTCACATATCATACAATTCACCCATTTAAAGTATACAATCCAGTGGTTTTTACTGTATTCACAGAGTTGTGCAACCATCACCACAATCAATTTTAGAACATTTTCATCACTCCAAAAAGAAATGCTGTGTCCATTTACAGTCGTTCCTCTTTTCCCCTCAACCCCCACACCTAAGCAACAATTAATCTCCTTTCTGTCTCTATAGATTTGCCTGTTCTGGACATTTCATATAAATGGAATCATATAATATATGGCCTTTTGTATCCTGGCTTCTTTCACTTAGTGTAGTGATTTTGAGGTTCATCGATGTCATAGCATGTATCAGTACTTCATTCTTTGTTATGGCTGAGATACATTTTATTTATCTATTCGTCAGCTAATGGACATTTTGGTGGTTTCTACTTTTTGGTTATTATGAATAATGCTTCTGTGAACATTTGTGTACGAGTTTTTGTGTGAGCCTATGTTTTCAGTTCTCTTGAGTGTATACCCAGGAGTAGAATTGCTGGGTCACATGGGAACTCCATGTTTAACATCTTGAGTAAGGCCAAACTTTCCTAAGGTGGCTGCACCATTGTATATTCCCAAAAGCAATGTATGAAGATTCCAGTTTCTTCATATCATCACCAAAATTTATTATGTGTCTTTTACTATATGCCAATCTTGTATGTGTGAAATGGTATCTTATTGTAGATTTGATTTGCATTTTCCTGATGACTAATGATGTTGAACATCTTTTCCTGTGCTTATTGGCCATTTGTGCATCTTTGGAGAAATGTCTATGCAAAATCCATTGTTATTTTTTAAGTGGGTTGTCTTTTTATTGTTGAGCTGTAAGAGTTCTTTGTATATTCTCGATACTAGACCCTTATCAGATATATAATTTGCAAATATTTTCTTGTATTCTATGGATTTTCTTTTCACTCTTTTGATAGTGATCTTTGAAGCAGAAAAGTTTTTAATTTTAATGAAATCCAATAATTTTTTTCTTTTGTTGCTTGTCCTTTGGATGTCATATTTAAGAAACCATTGCCTAACCCAGGGTCACGAAGATTTACTCCTGTGTTTTCTTCTAAGAGTTTTATAGTTTTATCTCTTACATTTAGGTCTATGATCTATTTTGAGTTATTGTTTACATATAAGGTAAGGAAGGGGTCCAACTTAATTCTCTCAAATGTATATATCCAGTTGTCCCGGCACCATTTGTTGAAAAGACTTTTCTTTTCCCATTGAATAGTCTTAGCACCCTTATCCAAAATCAATTATCCATAGATATATGGGTTTATTATTTCTGGATTCTCAGTTCTGTGCCATTTATCTGTATATCTCACCTTATGCCAGTACCACACTGTCATAATTATTGTAGATTTGTAGTAAGTTTTAAAATCAGGAAGTATGAGTTTTCAAACTTTGTTCTTCTTTTTCAAGATTGTTTTGGCCATTCTCGGTGCCTTTTCTTTCCATAAGAATTTTTGGATGACCTTTCAGTTTCTGCAAAAAAGGTAGTTAAAATTTTGATAAGGATTGTGTCGAATCTGTAGATGAAGTTGGGGAGTATTGCCAGTTTAACAATATTAAACTTCTGACCCATGAACATGAGATGTCTTTCCATTTATTTATGTCTTTAATTTTTTTCAACAATGTTTTGCGGTTTTCAGTGTACAAGTCTTACATGACAAAGACTCTCTGCTTGACCAAACATTAGACAGGCCTGTCTGAGCCCTCTATTAGACTAGGCCTCATCTTGGGCTCTGTTCTTGGCCTGCCTCAGCCAGTCTTAGCCAAGAATTCTGGTAAGTCAATCCCCTGCCCTTGATATCTCATCACCCTTGATAGCTGATCAAGTTCCTCATCCCCTACCTTTGATGTAAAAGTCATTGGTGCCTTTAGGGAGGTCCTTTTAGGCCAGTTTAGCAAGAATCCCCTACTTTTGATTTTTCCTCTTAGTAATTTTCCATCCACTGACTACCCCTTCACTCTGCTTGTTGGCTATAAATCCCCACTTGTTTTTTCTTTTTTTAGAGATATGATTTACGTATAACATTGTATGAGTTTAAGGTGTACAGCATGTTGATTTGAATCATTTATATATTGCAGTATGCTTACCACCTTAGCTTTAGCTAACACCTCTACCACATCACATAAATTATCATTTCTTTTTTTCTGGTGAGAACATTTAAGAGTGAGTCTCTTAAGCAATTTCGCAGTATATAATACAGTATTATTAACTATAACCAGTGTGCTATGCACTAGAGTTCCAGAACTTATTCTTCTTTTAGTTGCAAGTTTGTACCCTTTAACATCTCCCCAATTCCTCCACCCCCTAGCCGCTGGTAACCTCTATTCTACTCTGTTTCTATAAGTTCGGTCTTTTTAGATTCCAAATATAAGTAATATCATACAATATTTATCTTTCTATGACTTATTTCATTTAGCCTAGTGCCCTCAAGATCCATCCATGTGTTACAAATGGCAGGATTTCCTTCATTCTCATGGCTCAGTAATATTCCATTGTATATATATACCACATCTTTATCCATTCACCCATTGATAGACACTTATGTTGTTTCTATTTTTTGGCTGTTGTGAATAATACTGCAGTGAACATGGGAGTTCAGATATCTTTTCAGTATCCTGTTTTCATATCCTTTGCATATATACCGAGAAGTGGAATTTGTGGATCATATAGTAATTGTATTTTTAATTTTTTGAGGAACCTCTATACTGTTTTCCATAGTAGCTGAACCAATTTACATTCCCACCAACAGTGCATAAGGGTTCCCTTTTCTCTACTTGGTCACCAATACTGGTTATCTCTTGTCTTCTTGATTATAGCCATTCTAACAGGTGTGAGGTTGATATCTCATTGTCATTTTGATTTACATGTCCCTAATGGTTAGTGATGTTGAGCATCTTTTCATGTGCCTGTTGGCCATTTGTATCTCTTCTTTGGAAAAATGTCTATTCATTTACTTTGCCCATGTTTAATCAGATTATTTGATTTTTTGTTATTGAGTTGTATGAATTCTTTATATAGTTTGTATATTAACCCCTTATCCAATACATGGTTTGTAAATATTTTCTCCCTTTCTGTAGGTTGCCTTTTCATTTTGTTGATTGTTTCCTTTGCTGTGCAGAAGCTTTTTAGTTTTATGTAGTCCTGCTTGTTGATTTTTGCTTTTCTTGCTTGTTCTTTTGGTGTTATATGCTAAAAATCATGGCA